CAGACGGAAAAAAGGCAGGAAATAAAAGTGTTACTACTGATCAGTGCAGATATTCTGCTCCAAAAACTTCCCATTCGGAGAGTGTTTGTGGAGACCAGGATTACGTCAGAGAAGTTCAACATTGAGCAAATAGCAGGTAGTGCTGTAAAACTAAAATATTACGATGGAACGCAGTTTTCACTCAACGTATGCTGTGATCGAAATTTACAACCTTTTAAGCAGGCCTAGACCCCCCTCGGCCTCCCCAGGCGGTTCCTGTTTGTTTGGGGACCGGTTTTTGGTACCCGGCCAATGTTTACAAAATAATATAATACATAACAATATAATTTTATTTAATATGTGTGAATATGAAAATTGAAAATGTTGATTACGTCTATTCATTAAAAACAAAAACAGAAACTTTAAAAATTAAAACTTGTATATCATGATTTATTAACATATAGTGACAAATAATTTGATTTGATACGACAGATGATCACACGCACTGTTTTATAAGCTACTTGAGGTTAAAACAAAAAAGAATAACTGAGCCCATGTCTTATCAGCACCTGCTAGCGCTATCTATATGATGCTATTAATATGACAGTGAATGGGCAGTGAAAAAAGTGGCATATGGTTGATAGTGACTAGTGTGCTAACCGTCTGGTTTTATTTATTCCTTAGTTTATTCTCGGTAGTTGATTTGTTGTGTGCCTGATCTTGTCGATTTACGTAGCCCGGGTAAATTATGCCCCAATGAAAAGATCATATTGCTCCCCAAATTCTAGTGATTGGGTTGTCTTGCAAGTTGCAACAGTGACACGCTACATTGACTAGTACCCACATACAGTATATAGTTTACACGGTATTTCCCGACAATATATCAATCACTTTACTCAGAGTTCAACTGATACCGAGTAACCGGCACTATCTTATTACTAGTCACGTGACGGCACCCCTCATCGCTAATTGGAGATTCTTAGACATTCTGACTCAACACACAGGTTGATCAGACTTCTTAATGTCTTAACGTTATGCTTGGTATCAGAATTTAGCTTAGATAGTTAGATGAATTACAGTGCAAAGTAGATCGAAAGCTTTATTGCTGAAAAGCTGCATATTTATTAAATAATTTAGATTGTTATCGACGGATATGGTGTCACACTATTATCGAGATTAATGCCGCGTTCTAATGTTGTTTTTGCTTCTTTTGGCCGTGGTTATTGTTATTATAATGCATGTTATATCTTTATTCAGACTTTTATTATTATTATTTGTACAGATATGAATTTAATAATCGTTATACTCAAATTTATAATTTCTAGAAGATACTTCGACAATGATGACACCCAACCATGAAATCCTAGTAAACGAGTCCAGGCTAACTTACATACTCGAGTCCCAGCAGGAACTGATATTCAAAGGTGGTTTCTACGAACTAGCGCCTCTTACAATTCCTCTGTGTGTTTTAGTGTTCGCCCAAAACACTGTAATATTCTTCGACTTCTACCGAGACAGAGCCAAGTTTGTGCCCAGTTTGTTTATGGGAATTGCAATCGCGGACATCCTAAAAGCACAAGGGGAACTAATACTTTCAATCGTTAGCATCCTCGTCTTCACAGGACACCTTGAGATAGCTGTCCTCTACAACAGCTTGTTTTACTACATGCTAACTGCTTTACCTGGCATCAATTGCTCCGGACTTTTCAATATGGTGCTGACTATTACCTTTACTTTAAACGTAGCCAACCCTTTCCAAAGGCTGAACGTGACACGTATTAGGAGAGTCACCACTTGTCTCTGCTTGCTGATAACCATGCTCCATATTTCAGATACTGTTGTCGCTATTGCTGCTATTTCCTCAGAAATTTGGAGTGATCCTAAGAACATCAATTCGCCGTTCTTATGGATGTTAGTTGTATTCATGGTTCCAGGAGCATTAACATCTGCAGGATTAATATGTAGACCTGACCACGGAGGATATGCAAGATGTACTGATATCGGAACTGAAAACAATCTCAGTCACGATCACGAACAGATCGCAATTGCATTTTATACGACGGGATTCCTCTATTATGCTGTACCATCTGTGATTCAATTGATCTGTATGATGATCCAGATAAAACATTTCCGAATATCGTTTCAGGACGACCACTCCAACTCGTCTTTACCCAACCCAACTCGTCACGTTTCAATTACCGTTTTTCTTATCTCAATTCTTTTCTTTATTTGTCATGTCACTTTCTTAATTATAGGATTCGTATTTTTTGCTATCCACCCAAAATTGAGCGTAAAAGACCATCACGATGATGGATTTTTCGTGAGGATGGGTGGCGGGTGCAATGCGCATTGCTGTTCTTTGCTTTGTTCACCCTCCCCCTGATATACGCGTTTGTCTACCCCATCATAATCATCAGCAGAAAGCCGGAACTGAGGGAACGATATATCGGGTACATCAGACGAGCCACATCCTGGTGCAGACAGGATGATACAACACGTGATACAACACCACGTGATACAACACCACGTGATACAACACCACGTGATACACCACCACGTGATACAACACCACGTGATACAACACCACGTGATACAACACCACGTGATACAACACCACGTGATACAACACCACGTGATACAACACCACGTGATACAACACCACGTGATACAACACCACGTGATACAACACCACGTGATACAACACCACGTGATACAACACCACGTGATACAACACCACGTGATACAACACCACGTGATACAACACCACGTGATACAACACCACGTGATACAACACCACGTGATACAACACCACGTGATACAACACCACGTGATACAACACCACGTGATACAACATCACGTGATACAACACCACGTGATACACCACCACGTGATACACCACCACGTGATACACCACCACGTGATACAACACGTACACGTGATACAACACGTACACGTGATACAACACGTACACGTGATACACCACCACGTGATACAACACCACGTGATACAACACCACGTGATACAACACCACGTGATACAACACCACGTGATACAACACCACGTGATACAACACCACGTGATACAACACCACGTGATACAACACCACGTGATACAACACCACGTGATACAACACCACGTGATACAACACCACGTGATACAACACCACGTGATACAACACCACGTGATACAACACCACGTGATACAACACCACGTGATACAACACCACGTGATACAACACCACGTGATACAACACCACGTGATACAACATCACGTGATACAACACCACGTGATACACCACCACGTGATACACCACCACGTGATACACCACCACGTGATACAACACGTACACGTGATACAACACGTACACGTGATACAACACGTACACGTGATACACCACCACGTGATACACCACCACGTGATACACCACCACGTGATACAACACGTACACGTGATACAACATCACGTGATACAACAACACGTGATACAATACGTGATACAACACCACGTGATACAACACCACGTGTTACAACACTACGTGATACAACACCACGTGATACACCACGTGATACAACACCACGTGATACAACACGTACACGTGATACACCACCACGTGATACACCACCACGTGATACACCACCACGTGATACAACACGTACACGTGATACAACATCACGTGATACAACAACACGTGATACAATACGTGATACAACACCACGTGATACAACACCACGTGTTACAACACCACGTGATACAACACCACGTGATACACCACGTGATACAACACCACGTGATACAACACGTACACGTGATACACCACCACGTGATACACCACCACGTGATACACCACCACGTGATACAACACGTACACGTGATACAACACCACGTGATACAACACCACGTGATACAACACGTGTTACACCACGTGATACAACACCACATGATACAACACCACGTGATACAACACCACGTGATACAACACCACGTGTTACAACACCACGTGTTACAACACCACGTGATACACCACGTGATACAACACGTGATACAACACCTGCTGACAATGAATATTGAGTAATGAACACGTGACACGTCATGATACAATATCAGAAACTTTTGACTTGATCTCAATCTAGAAACAATGTGTAACAACTCACCAGTGTTTTTTATTATCATACAATTACTGCAGTTGTGTTAGTAAGAGTGCTGGTATTTTGACTAATCACATACTATGATTTTTTGCAGAATATGTATAGTAGAATACATTAATTTCACTCCCTTGCAGTGCGATTAGGACAATAATGAAACTCGCTCGTCAAACTTGATCGTTTAAATATTGAACTTATATCACCTACGCTACGGTTTTATCAGCTTATCATGATTGTACGGACAGTAGATATCATTTTAAAAGTATTTTTGAATGATTTCTTAGACAACTGCAATATAATCGATTAGGAAAATTACGCTTATCATTGAAAATATCTTGTGTTGATTAGATGTATGAGTGATATTTAATAACCAGATGACTCTGATTTATTCAACTTAGCTTAGATTATGAGATTGTTATTGTTGACACAATAATAATATGATGCTAAAGGATTTACAACATAAGTTTTTTTGGACTTGGAAACAAGATTTCGTTTTTTTTAATAAATAAAGTTTTCTTGTACCTACTAAGTATTATTTGTTTGTTAATTTGCTGATATTGGAAAAATTGTACAGTTTGATCTCAAATTTAATAATTAATAATGATTATTAACTTGTTGAATATTTGTATGCAATGCAATGATTTTATTATGCAATGATATTTTTACTGTATGCGATAATTTTTGTAAAATACTTTTAAAAATATACTAGACAGTTTTTAATTGACTTTTTTCAAAATCATCTTAAATCTCTCTCCTTGGCAATTTCATAGTTCACCACAAAAACAAATTTGTACCACATATCCACCTAACTGTTACTCAATCTACGTCTATATATCACGTATAATCTGATCGTATTATAGTACTAATTGCAAATCGTACCTTAGGCATCATATCAGTCATGAAGCTCTGTCCTCCGAAGCCTGGTTCAACAGTCATGACCAGTAGTACGTCCAGCAGTGGAGCTAGCTCAGATAACGGTTCTACTGGGGTCTTGGGCTTTATCCCACATCCGGCCTGTCAACAGGGCCGGGTTCAGTCACAGATATCATGCAATATTTAGGTTATCAAGTGAATTAGGGTGAGTTATTAATTAACGTTCTCTCTGAATGACCAGCCCAATTGAGATGATCTCCACCAATTTTATAACACAACTTTAAGAGTTTCAGTGCAAATATGCCACTTTAACAAAAGTAATATTTACAAAAGTATAATAATATTTACAAAAGTATAATAATATTTACATGCATCCCTTTACTCCTGATCTTCTGAATAGTTTGGTGGGGGTTCTCAGAAGACTCCAGATGGAAAGTGTAGATATCAGCACCAGCCTTGCTCATGTCATCTATCCACTGCTCTGGGTTGGAAACCATCATGTGCACTTCGAACAGTACTCCGGGGAATTTGTCACGCAATGATGCTACTACAGGGGCTCCTGAATCAAGGTACACGGTCAGGTTACCAAGATGGTATTTTAAACGATATTATCTTGAATTATCGTTCAAGACTATTCATTTTTATTTTAAATTCACAGTCCAATAGAGATTTTAAAGTTTAAACGAGAATGGCTATATCATTTATTAAAAGTAACACGAAATTGAGCTAGTTAATTACCGAAAGTGAGATTAGGAACGAAATGACCGTCCATAACATCAAGGTGTAGATAATCAGCACCAGCGTCCAACATCCTCTGACACTCCTCCGCAAGACGGGACAAGTCAGAGTTGAGGATTGACGGTCCAATCATACAGCCTCCTTTACATAGCCTCCCCATCATTCCTGGGAAAGTGGCTTCATTATCTTCTGATTATATACCGACTGTAGCACGAGTAAACTTGAAATATTTTTAAACTGTCATTTTGGTGAACGAATTTATTTTATTGTTGATAGGGATCCGTGATCATTACCATGATTACCAATTTTGAGAAACTTGAAGAGAAAAGACAGTAGGGGATGGGGCCAATGGCATAAAATGGAGACTTTTTCTATGGAGAAAATGGAAAAACCCTTGAGTAATTCTCCATTTATGCCATTGGCCCCCCCCCCCCCCCCCAGTATAAAACTTTGGATACTCTAGTCTAGGCTAGTATATATATATGGGCCATGAGGGCAACCCCATCGATGCCCATTTGACCAAAAGTTGAGGAATAATTAGACAAAATTGGCATCATTTTTCAGTCAAAATCGAAAATAAATAGTCATGCTACCATGATCATAATCTATTTACATCGCCCTCAGAAATCTTACAGAATTATAAAGATTTTTGTTAAATTAAGTCTTGGTAATTTGAATCGAAGTATGTTAATCCACGTGTTAAACCATGTGGAAAGTGTGTCCGCTCAAAATCGTTAATTCATAATAAACTTGTTAGACCCTTATGTTGTCAAAAACTAGGAGCTGAATTCTATTCCAAGGAATCAACCAAACCATTATTTAACAGTCATAAACTCCTTACTGTTCATAATCTTTACAAACTTCGTACTATAACTGAACTTTTTAAAATAGTGAAATATAGGGTACCCATATCTCTCTACTCTTTACTTAACATGTCTGAACTGAGGGATGACCGTCTAATACCACCAAAGCCAAGCCATAACTTTATTTATAAATCTTCTTGGCTTTGGAATCAATTCAAGGACTCCAATCCACAGAATAAACCTGACTTTGTGAACACATCCTGCAACTCAATCAAAGCGAGGCTAAACCGATCTCTTCTAGATGCCCAAAGCAGGTTCGATAATGAGTGGCATAATGACAACTTTAACAGTTTTGGACCATGCTAGATTATTGATAAAAACGTGGAATTTATATAAACAAATACTTAATTACTTAAATATTGCCGTTTCCGTACGGCGCTATACGTAATATATGTTAAAAGCGCGCCGCAGCTACTCACTACTTCAACATTTGCGCGGGTTTCTTAAGCGCGCACGAACGTTTATTCTTGGCTGTTAATCAGACCCATGACATAACGCTATAGGTGGCAGTGACTGTAATTTTCTTCAACAATTACTGAATTATCCATCCATAAAGTGATTTACAAAATGACACCTAAACCTCGTGTTTCGGTGTTCACTTAAACGGTACTTGGCGGCTGAACTGTGGTGTCTGACGTTTGCAGCTAGATCGGACTCTGATATTGTATTAGCAAATTTGTATAGTGTATAATTGTTTAGTGTTTATGATACTCTGCAACCTGGTAGTGCAGCTGACACTAAAACAAAATGTTGGCCTGGCTTGTGCATAACCAAATAATTAACACGCACTCCGATAAAAGCCGTCTGGAGAAACTCTGCAAAATGTTCATTGTAGTCAACGGGCACAAAGAAGCACTACTAGCAATTGTGTCCTTTACCCTCCTACATAATTTGAACATTTTTGTGGCTAACTCATTGAACAACATCTGAATTAAAATGTGTCTAGTATAAAAAGATTCAGTAAGTTATCGTTTCATGTACGCTGTACACTGTATATAGTTAGTAAATGCAAACCAAACTTTTTCGATCAGCCGCGCGCCGAACCAGTGTTGCACTAGGTAAAAATTGTGTATATTTTGTTCATTTTTGAGTGTAAATTAATTTATTAATTTATCACAAATTATTTTATTATAATATGACCACTTATGTGAAATGGTTATTTCGACATTAAATATTTGAACTAAATATGAATTGATTGTGGGTATAAAATAAAATTTGTTTTACTAAAAAAAAATTTGTTTTACTAATAAGAGACAACACTTTTTAGATTACAAAATTGCACTAATATAAAAAAAGATAAATATTGCACATTCTGAATAAACTGTTCAGTATTTTATCAATAAAAAGCAAATTACAGTTATGCATCAAACATATTAAAAAACGCTGCAAATTTTGATATGAAATATAAAAATAATACAATATAAAAAATAAAATAGAAATTATTATGAGCGCATCATACTCAGTACTATACCAGCAATCAGCATTCTTTGTACAGAGTATTGTCAAGTATAATAATTCTGTAAAAGATTTCACATTACATGTCACATTACATGCCATCTTTAATCATCATGCACATTGCACAATGTTCTAAAAAATATCACAACTTTTTTTCCCTTTTTTTCTTTTTTCTAAGGACCAAAACATTCAATCATGCTAGATCAATTAGGAGGTGAGGAATCAATTCTCTTTACAATAATATGTGCTCACAAAACTATTTAAAGTATAAAACTTTAGTTACTCTAGTCTAGGCTAGTATAGTTATATACATTAATAAAATACTTTAAATTATGGTTTGTCACTTTATCGCTGTTCACTTTCAGGAAATCTTCGCATGCTTGAGGTAAACCACTAAACATTACTCTGCTCATTTCAGAGCTGACAGCTTCATGAGATAGGTCTTTGACGAAAGAGGTCAGTTCTCTTAAGAAGTCCAAGCTGTTATCTTGAGAATGGTCGAGGTAGGAGATCAAAGTTTTGATTATAAGAGTTGGCATTCCCGAAAGTGTTTTTTGAGGTTGTGTGTTTTCCCCAAATACGGAAGGGTTCAATTTGGCAATATGAAAGCAGATGAGTTCCGGGAATTTTTCAGTCATTTTCCACGTTGCTCTAAGAACATCAATGTCTGTGCATTGGCCAGTATTAGATAGTTCAACATTTTCCTCAGTTTCCAATGAGTGAGATGAAAATAACATCTTTCTATCTAAAATTCGGAAACTTTTCCAGGCAATCACAATGTTAGGAGACACATCTTTGACGAAGAAGACGGGATCAATGTCGTCCAATGCATAAGCAGCAGCTTTTCTCATAATATGGGAGATTTGTGACCTAAGAAGACGTCCTTCAACATTAGTAATAGTATGGTCGATATATTTCTTTTGCTTTTCAGCTAGGTCTGGTAAAAAGACTAGCAACTTTTCCATAAGTACCCTTCTATCCATCAGTTGGCTCAGACCAATTAGTATACTCAAAAGCTGGGATGTGAAAATTGGTTCTTTAATTAGAGTTAATGCTCTTCCAATCCCACAAACAAAATCGCAATCTTCTAACACATGCAATTGTGAGTCTATTTGACCCAAGTCATCGTTTTTGACTAATACTAGCTTTTTCACGATAACAGACAATATTCCTATTATCATGCCAAACTTTGTTAAATCAGTGTTAATTTCCGTTTGTGAAGTCAAGTCTATGCACAGTTTCGTTTGTGAGATCAAGTTTATGCACAATGGTATACCAGGCATCATTTCATCAATATTTCTTAGGGTGACACGATGTTCCGAGCTCTCTTCTGTACCAAAGTACTGACATATCAGTCTCCAACCAAGTAACTTTATGTGTTCGTCAACACTGTGATTGTGCAATATCTTGACATTCTGAACCAACAAAGCAATGTGACCTGGAGCTCTGAGATCATTTAATACCAAGTTGTCTTCGTGAAACGCTATACTATCACCAAACATAATTGCTATTAGGCGAGTTCCTTTTGCAAGAAAATCAACCGAATGCTTCTGAAAATCTAATAGGGCAGGCAAGCATTTGTTTATTGAACAAAAATCTTTGTAAACAATAGAAAATTTAAGAATATCATACATTATAATCAGTGTATCGAGTAAGCGGTTCAACCTTTCATAACGCATTTCTGTATAGCTCAATTCCACAACCAAGTACAAAATCAGTCTTTTAAACAGTTTTTCTTTCATATAGAACTCGCGATCTTCTCTATCACCATCTTGCAGATAAATAGAAATATTTTTCACTACATTTTCGAATGCCCAGTTATCCTTTGAAACTTGAGAGAGATTTTTTACTGCAACTTCAGTCAAAATCCGGAATTCAGTGTTAAGCCCATGCATCTGTTCTTTGGTCTCAGTGTATTGAAGTATTATACGAAAAGTCTGTATCATGTCATTCAGGTATGCTTTCACAAAAGTATTGTCATTACTCATCTCACCGAATAACTTGAATAACTTATTTATTGTTCCGTCTTTTATATGGGACCTCACCATGGGCATACAGTACATCGAATGCCTTCCCTAGTATTGGAATATGTCAAATACTTTCTTACAGAACCGGCGTTCGTAATCGCTATCCATGTTCTCTGCGGTTTTAAGAAGCAGTGGAAGCTCAGCAAAAATGTCTCCTTTCCATTTTGTGCTCCATTCGAAAAACCTTGTATTCTTGAAATCTGTATTTATGAATTGAGTCAATAAAGTAACTGCCCAATATATATCACTTGTATCAACAATCATAGGAAGGAGTTGCAGGATAGTTTTGATTGCACCATTTTCCATCATACAACCAGTAAACATAGGATTAGGATCATTGTCAGTCTTAACATCGTCAATGTATCCATTCCACCCAATGTAAAACAGCTTGTTCAATATCACAGATGTAACAGACTCTGTAAGACGTAACTGTTTCAGTAGTTTACAAAGTGTGGCAATCGTTGTTTGGTCACCGTTCAGCACCGTGATAAACTCTGAAATAGATGACAAGGTAAACACTCACCAAATCTAATTAGAAATAAAGTGAGGGTAGTGTAACTGCTAGCTATGAATTATCACAAGAAAGTCCGATTTTGCTAGTAATAATCTTAACCGGTCATCTATAATAGAGAATAGGTATCATTTGGATCGTAGATGAAAAAGGCCCATTACTTCATTTCAAATTCAGACTTACCATTGCGAGTGCCGGCTGTGTGCGAATCACAATATTTATTAATTTCGCTGAGTCCTTCAACTTTGATGCTGATGTCGTTAGAGTGATTGAGCTGATGAATAGCTTTGTGAATACCTTCCATATTGTGTACATTATTTCCTGAAACAAGAGATTCCAAAAAGTCATACACTCTGCAAACATAAAGCTAATCTATAATTTTTTTAATCTGACTTATTAGTGCTGTTAACAAGTAGCACCCAAATTAGTCACAACAAAGTTATGCTGCATTGATAAAATTAAGAGATTGACAATGGACATGGTTATTGTAAAATCGTGTTTAGATTTTTAAATATTATATAAATCATGAGTCATTAAAATTTAAAAGGATCATACAAAAATTAGGTAAATGATAATGGAATAATTGAATCGAAATATTATAACAAGACAACACTTTTTGACTTTTAAGATCACAAAATTGCACTATAATATTTTTTTGTAAAATTGAAAAAAGATAAATATTATAATATTGCACACTCTAATTAAACGGTTCAGTCTTTTATCAATAAAAGGAAAATTAGAGTTATGCCATAAACATATTAAAAACGCTGCATTACAAAATGCTCATTGATCGAAATTTTAATATCGTCACCTACAATTTAAAAAGGCCGTCGAAAAAGCACGTTTTGAGATAATCGATTAAAACATATTGTTTTTTTTGCAAATCCAGAGTCTGGACCTAGCCGAGGTGCTTAACAGCAAAAAAAATTAATATTCTCTCGGATTTAATTTTTAAATCAAAGAGAATATTATGAAGATTGAAAAGTCCAATGTCAAGTTAGGCCCATTTAATTTGTTAATATTTCCTATACAAAATTTTAATAAAAAGTCCGAAGAATATTTTCATCAAAAAATTTTCATATTTTGGGACAATGTAGATTGTAGGTATGGTACCCCAGATTACGTAGCCGTGTTGCAATTTAAAAGAGCCTAAGTCGACTTAGGCCCGTTTGATTTGTAGGTGACGATATGAAAATAACAATTAGAAAATAACGATCATATCTTTGTTCTGTAAAAAATAAAATAGACATTATTATGAGCACATTATACTCAATTACATCATTCTTTGTACAGAGTAGAGTCAAGTATAATTATTCTGTAAAAGATGCCACATGCCATCATCAATACTCATGCACAATGTTCTAAAACATATCACTGCTTTTTTTTCCTTTTTTTCTTTTTCTAAGGACCATGACACCTATCAAGTGTCAAAACATTCAACCATGCTATCTACTAATTAGGAGGTGAGGAATTTATTCTCTTTGCAATAATATGTGCTAAAAAACTATAAGTATAAAACTTTAGTTACTCTAGTCTAGGCTAGTATAGTTATATACATTAATAAAATACTTTAAATTAGGACTTGTCACTTTATCGCTGTCCACTTTCAGAAAACGTTCACATGCTCGAGGTAAACCACTAAACATTACTCTGTTCATTTCAGAACTGACAGCTTCATGTGATAAGTCTTTGATGAAAGAGGACAACTCTCTAAGGAAGTTCAAGCTGCAATCTTGAGAATGATCAAGGTAGGAGATAATAATTTCGATTATCAGTGCTGACATAGTCGAACATGTTTCTTGAAGGCCTGGATTTTCCCCAAACAAAGAAGTATTAAATTTGGCGAGATGAGAGCATATGAGTTCCGGGTATTTGTCAACCATTGTCCATGTTGCCCTCAGAACATCTATAAACGTTTCCATGTGAATCTCAAAATTTTCCTCAGTTTTCAATAGATCTGACGAAAAGAACTTTTTTTTACCTGAAATTCTTAAAAACTTCCACATACCAGTAACCTTCCAAACCAAAGTTTCAGAAAAAAAAGTTGGATTAATATCATCTAAAACATAGGCAGCAGCCTTCCTTAAGAGAGATGCAATTAGTGTTCCTAGGTGCTGTCCAGCATCAGTGTATTCACAAATGCGCTGCTGCTTTTTAGCCAGGGCCGGTAAAAAGTCGAGTAATTTCTCCATAAGATCCCTGCTATCCATCAAATCATCCATACCAAATATCGTATGAACAAGCTGATGTGTTGCCTCTGCATCTGTGTCCTCGATGAGAATTAGGGCTTTTCCGATCCCAGGAATAAAGTTGCATTCTTCAAAAGCATGCAAAACTGAGTCGATTCGACTGCATCCCTTATCTTTGATATGCACTAAATTGCTCACAACAATCAATAACAGTCTTCTTGTGTTGTACTGTAATTCGTCATCAAATTCTTTCTGTAAAATCAATTCCATGCACAGGGGTATACCAGGTAAGATTTGGCTGATGTCTTCCAAAGAAATACGGTGTTGTGAATCAGGTTCTGGAGAGAAGCAAGCCGAAATCATTCCCCAAACAAGCCATCTTTCGGTGTAATCACCATGAAATATCTTAGCATTTTGGATTAATAGAACAATAAACCCTGAGGCTCTGAGTTGACTGAAGTCCTCTTCTTTGAAAAATCCACTGTCATGAATGAGACACCAAGTTAGCAATAATGATTTTTTCAGAAAATCAACAGAATGTTTCTGAGAATCTATTAATAATGGAAAGTATCGTTTCAAACAACGAAAATCTTCGTAAATAATGGAATCTTTAAGATTGTGGTCATGGTACATTATACCCAGCATCTGAACTAAACCAGTCATTCTTTCATAATGCATCTTTTTTGAGCGCAGTTCAACAGCCAAATGTGATGTTAATTGTTTAAATAGTTTTTCTCTCACAAATAATTCACGATCTTTTTCATCATATTCAGTCATGTTCAACAGTGTTATTTGAAATGCAATGTCATCTTTTGCAATTGTGGTTAAATGTTTGATTGCCAATTCATTCAAAACCCGTCGTTCAGCATCAAGTCCATGATTAGGTTTTTCGTGGACAGTATTCTGATCACACTGACTTATCAAATTAAAAATGATAACCACTCTGATTATGATAAATTCCACAAACTCACCATCATAGTTCATTAGATCACTGATTAGCATGAAGAACTTGCAAACTGTTCCATCCTTTATTTGGGACCTCACCATGGACTTACAGTAATTAATGTCGTCGAAGCTCAAACATGATGCGAATATGAAATAGACTGACCTATAAAGTCGTTCGTTCTTGCACATTTCCAACCTTTCTACAGTTTTTAAAATAGCCGGAAAATTGGAAAAAATGTCACCTTTCCATTTGATGCTTCGTTCGAAGAACCTTGTATCCTTGAAATCTGCTAAAATGAACAAATTCAATATAGAAACAGCAACGTGTATAATACTACCATCATTATCGCGATAAAGTGTAGGAAGATGCAGTAGGATTGCCCCAATTGCACCGTTTTCCATCATGCAACCCATTAACATCGAATTTTTATCCTTGTTGCAAATGGAGAACAAAATGTCCCATGCCATCACTGGTATAAATGTTGCTTTATTATTGGAAACCACATAATGCTCTTCCTTTCTCAGTTTCAAAAGGTCACATATTGAAATGATCGTAGATTGGTCCTTGCAGAGCACTTTAAAAAACTCTGAAATAAACATTATCAGGTATTATAACTTTATAATCAGAATGATTGATACGTCATGATACTGTATCTATCTATTCCATAATTCGAAACTTTATGTTTGTTTGTTTGACCGCCCACGTGCAAATTGAATGAGAAATTCAATGCCATATTTAATGGCTTAAAGGTCACGTCATATATTGCCATTACTACCAGAGCAGAAATATAACTATAGAAGATTTAGAAAATAGAGGAAATAGTTGCTTGCAGTTGAGCAGTTGCCAGTAGCAAAAAAATGAAGCTATTTAATACACAAACACTATTTACAAGGATATTAGGGCCCGACCATACTATGACTGCAGTTGTCATCATGACTGTTGTCACCATAACTGTTGTCATAGTATGGTCAGAGATAATGCCAACAGGCACGACAGTCATGACCAGAAGCACGTAGTGTGTTTAGAGGGTGTGCCAAGATACGTGACAACTCCTGAGGCACTTCAGGCACGTCTTTCAAAAAGCTAAGCCTATAACTGTTGTGGATAACGTGACGTCATGATTACCTTGGTCGACATGTTGCGTGAAATGGACATTGGCAGTGCAAAGTGCAAAGGTGCAAAGATAGTACAGACAGATCCGTCTGAAAAAATCGATCTACCGACACAAGAAGCCCCCAAAAGGATTTAAGACGTTTTTAGGTTCCATTCGGCTGACCAACTTTTCCTAAATTTTCCACCTGTCTTAAGGCCACTTTTTACCACCTTCTTGTTTGTCAAATATCTTCAAATAATCACACTTCACAAATCATAAACTATTTTAATATTTATGCCAAATGGTACATAGCAAAAGATTTCATGCAGGGGAAATACCGATCTGGCAGGGGTATATCAAATTACTTAAGCTTTCACTAACAGGAGACAAAATAGGTCACAAAAGTTCTAGTATTGTGTCGATCTTGGCCGATTAGGGCTAAATGTCTACTCCATTGATATTGCTGTCTAATGATATTTAATTATTAATGGTTATTGTTAGTATCTTGTAGTACTACTAGCTGTTTTGTAGTACATGCCCTGCTTCCTTTCCTTCCTAAATTACCTTTTAACCTCCTTTACTACGCCCTTTTCACTTCACCTCACTCAATTCACCTCATATTTTATTACTACAGTATCTGCCAAAACCAACATGGCCCATGTAGGAAGGGGCCTTGACGTTGTTTCCCACTTGGCCCTGCATCCCAGGCTGACGGTCGGCCTCCACTCTCTAAAAAATTACCTTTAGTGAAGGCCGATGGTCAACAAATAGCGATGTTAGAGCTTGGTGTGACCAAATCCTGACCTCCTTTTACACCATTGGAGTCGACTCTCGCAAATGCGAGAGGAAAGATCCCGGGAGGGCACCATTGGTTTTGGTAGGTTGCATATTTAAAAAAATATATATATTCAGCTGTGAACATCGTAGAAGGTTACGAATTAATCGAGGTTGTTTATCGACGAGAAAAACATTTGTCATGACTGTAACAGTCATGATGACAACAGTCATGATGACAACAGTCATGATGACAACAGTCGTGATGACAACAGTCGTGATGACAACAGTCGTGATGACAACAGTCGTGATGACAACAGTCGTGATGACAACAGTCGTGATGACAACAGTCATGATGACAACAGTCATGATGACAACAGTCATGATGACAACAGTCATGATGACAACAGTCATGATGACAACAGTCATGATGACAACAGTCATGATGACAACAGTCATGATGACAACAGTCATGATGACAACAGTCATGATGACAACAGTCATGATGACAACAGTCATGATGACAACAGTCATGATGACAACAGTCATGATGACAACAGTCATGATGACAACAGTCATGATGACAACAGTCATGATGACAACAGTCATTAGAATTAGAATTAGAATTATAATCAAATTTACACAGCAATACAATAAGAATAAAAAATAATTTAAGAAGCTTCAATCTGCTGTGCAGGACATTCAAGTCAGTCGAAAACTGTTAGTAGAATACCCTCCTAGGGACATAAAGATATAGTAATAAATTAATGAGTGATAAAATAAGATATGATTTAACAGTGAACTGTGGGCATGAAGGTAACAATTTATGTTGAAAATTACATAGATGCCCACTTAGGAATTTCGTTAACTTAATATTATTTACAGTTATACACATTACACATAGAAGTATAGAACAATAATAAAATGGCAATGATAACAAGTGGGAACGAATAAGGAGATGTTTAAAGTTCTATACTTCTGAAAATAAGTTTAAATAGGATTAAAAGATTAAGTTTAACTTATTTGATTTGATAAGGTCATATAATGCAGGGGGCCTTTCCACCCGACAATGACAACAGTCATGATGACAACAGTCATGATGACAACAGTCATGATGACAACAGTCATGATGACAACAGTCATAGTACGGTCGTGCCCTTATCCTAGCTGTTAATAAAATACATACAGGATGTCCCAAAAAGGCAACCAAGTGATCAGTGTTAATAACTCACGAACGGTTTGAGAACACCATTTATTATTTACAGGGCTATATGGTATGACCTCTGAAGTCCCAGAAAAAAGTTTTAAAACCTTTAAAAGTTCATTCGAGTAGGGTGTGGTAGCCTCGATCATTTTGTATGCTATTGCATTGTTATTACTCTCAAAGTGAAGATCATGACGTGCCTATCTGGCAGAAAAAGTAATGGGCCAACTGAACAGGTTTTTGGCGGAGTTTTTCCCTGAAAGTTTAACACAGATTCTGAAGCACATTGACTTAAGAAGTTTCAAGCCGTAAATATTATTATTATTAAACAAAAGTAATTTGGTTTCCTTTTTTGGGACACCCTGTATTATGAAATGAATCCAGAAATTATTAACAATTTTTTACCTTTTTGAGTAGCCAAAAGTTGACCAGAGTTCTTGGCCAAAGAAAAACAATGACAAATACTCTCTAAAGCTGCAACCTTGTTGGTTGTTTCGCTTGATTCGTTGAGCAGCTGAATAGCATTATAGAGACCTTCCATTAATTGTTTAATATCTTCAAAAATTGCGTCCAGAAGTTCTCCCGAGCTGATCCCTAAAATTTGGGTCCTTCTTTCACGAAACTCATTTTACTTTTAGCTAACCTGTGAGCTTATCATCAAACATTTTTTTGGTAATTCATTCAGAGATTAATATCAATTATTATAATAATTACGGTATAATATGAGAATTCGATATATATATATTATATAATTATGATAATAATTATAATATATAATATGAAATTCTCACATTTCCTGAATAAATGGCAAACATTTGTTGGAATAGCCATGATTCCATCTTAAACAATAATCTCAGAATGTGTGTTTTCTGTCTGTGTGTTTTCTGTGTGTTTTCTGTGTGTGTGTGTAATTTCCGAGCGGCTTAATCAAGAAAACGGTAAGAGTTACGGGGCTGATTTTTTCGGTAAAGTGTCGACAAAACTATGAGGAAGTCAAATGGTAAAGGGTTTTTAAGTCGGTCGGTGGTAAGTGGTTTAATTGATGGTTTTGTACCACAAATGTTACATAAAATGGCTTGAGCAGCTTAATCAAGTTACGGGGCTCGCTCGCTCTCTCCCATTACTGCATTTAAATATTATGTAGCGTTGGTACATATATCATAATTACGTGCTGTCATGGATACTTTAAACTTATTAGGGGAGGGAGCGCTTATAACGGTCTGTTTGAACTGTAGAGAGAGTTCATACTTTCATACGACAATGTAATGCATGTTTTCAGATAATATGTGGGTGTGGTGCGGAGTTAATAAGGGTTAATTTCTATTGATTAGTGTTTAAGATACTATTGTTTAAGATACTATTAGATACGTGATGGCACTCCGAATAGAATTGCTCACCTAATGCGGGTTTTGACTACAGTGGGTAAATACTCCTACCCTTTTTAACTGCGGCAGTGAAATCCCGGCGTTACACTAGTTATGATAATAATAGGATGTCTAGGGTAGTGAAATTACTTTTGCCTTAGATACAATTTCCGAGCTGGTCACTACCTAGAATTAAAGAACAGTATAATAATGGGGGGGGGGGGGGGGGCAATGGCATAAAATGGCATAAAATGGCATGAAATGGAGACTTTTTCTATGGAGAAAATGGAAAAACCCATGAGTAATTCTCCATTTTATGCCATTTTATGTCATGAATTTTGTCTTCGAAATTTCACCTTTAACATCATTTAACACCTAAATTGGACATCCTAACATGTTTATTTACGCTTACTATGGGCGTAACAAGCTTATGAAAGCTCATAGTAGGCTACTAGATGCTTATACTAGGTTAGTAGAGGCACACTTCAGGCAAACTCATTACTCAAGCCTAGTGTAAAGTTATTTCTACAGGCTACAGCAGGAGTAAGTAATAGGTACTGAGAATTAGTGAGACCTACATCCTCGAAACTCGAAACAAGTGACAACACTTGTGAGTTGTGAACCGATCTCTATCGAGGAAATTTCAAAGCAAGCAGGAATAAAGTCTGTGATTCAAAGAACAAACGAGAGTTCGGCGCTCAACGAAAACATGCTCTACGATACGGTTCTCTTATCTCTACATGAGTGATAAGACGAAGAGGGGCACTGGCTAGTGGTTAAGAGTGCCAAACAGACTACGGAAGAGAACGAATGGAACCCGATGGTATTTTGGCCTGGCTATTTATAGGCAATGCGTGCTGAGATGTAGCCCGGGAGCGAATCAGAGTGCAGGATCGATATCACGTGATCATTTGAAAGCCAATAGAAATGCTCTATTTGTGTCACGTGACTTACAAACAGCGGAGGGGTTGTTCGCAAGCAGCCACTGTCTAGTACAGAGCTAATCACCGTCTGGCGTCTAGAGCTGAGTCACGTGATTGTCTAGAGTCCAGTATGGAGTCACATGCGTAAGCTACCCTGAACACGTGACCTTCATTATCTTTCACAATCAGCAGAGGGGGGTGACGAATAAACATGCAAAATGCTGGTAAAAGCGGGAACAAGCTATCTAATTACACTGTATACTTGTATACCACAGAAAACATAATATAATGATTATTGGCTAATGGCTATTAAGTATTAACTCCATAGAATATAGATTTAAATTCAAGATAACAAGTTGGGTTCAATTTTGGATTTTTAGACCGAGCAAAGGAAAGTGATTTTAGGATAACTTGAAATATAACTGAATAACTGAAATATTTTTGACTTCGAAAATCGAAAAAATATTTTCGGCTAATAATGATCAGGGTAGCATGAATCGTGAACAAAAGTAGTTTCTAGAAAAACTTTGAAAAAATTTTGACTTATAAAATGTTCGGTCCGAGTCATCCTCGATACGTACCTCTGAAGGCAGAGCTCTCGCTTCCGAGCTCGCACTGCAAAGGGGAGGCCTGCCTTCCGAGATCGCATTACAAGAGGGAACCCTCGAGTCCAAAATTGTATATCGAAGGGTAGGTCCGGACTTCGAAAATCGAAAAAATATTTTCGGCTAATAATAATAATGGGTAGCATGAATCGTGAAAAAAAGTAGTTTCTAGAAAAACTTTGAAAAAAATTGTGACTTGTAAAATTTTCGGTCCGAATTTTTTTTTCTTCAAAAATTTAAAATTCTTTTAGAAACCTTTAAAAAGTTGGCCCTTCTTGGCCCCTTGCCCCGATTTTATGGGGCTGGGGGCGATGGCCCCCTGCCCCCCCCCCCCCGCTTCCTACACCCCTGCATCCGGACGTCCTACTCTGGGGGACGATCTAGGAATATGGATGCGTCAACGATGGCGTTTGGTATGGAGAGGAGAAATGTTAGGAGTACGATGTGTTCTCCTGAAGATACGTCAGTCGTCGCCCACAAACGAGGTCGAACAGTCATTCGACCAGCTGTCCCTGCTGACCCTTCAGCGACAATACCTGCTCCGTCAAAACATAAGATCCCTGTTTGGACTGGAGAAATGCTAAACTTGGCCGAGCTGGCAAGAGCAATAAATCAGGTGACGAACGATTGCATTGCAGAAGGAAAAGATTACCATTTTTCTGTTTTCACTGCTGTGATCGATCCAGCAGTGAGATTCGGAAAGCCGACAGCTCAGGTCAACGAGGAAGAGGAAGACGACGAAGGTGGAGACTGGAGAGGACAACGAAATTCAAGAATCTTCGGAGAATCTGCTAGAAGAGAGCGACTCCAGCACCATGGTCACCACCAAGATTTTTGGAAAGATTGAATTCAAATTTGCTGAAACGTTACTTTTGAATGAAGGGAGAAGCTATCTGACAACAAAGTCACGGCTGTCCAGATTTGCGGGTGATACATTCGGGGTATCATCGGACATTAGAATTTATTCGCAACCGATTGCGATTGTATAGGACAGATTAAACGTGGTAGCATTCAAACACTACGCACAATATGTAAAGCAGGGAACAACCCCCGAGTAACAGGTGTTGTATGTTACATTTCGTTTAAATCTTGCCCCATGAAATTTTTTTGTTTGGAGCATTCTCTGATCCAAGGATCGCCCCATATTTGGCTACTTGTTTCAGATAAGTATTTAAGATGTTTTATTTAAAATGTATTATATTATGTATATTGAAATATTGTTATTGTAATATTTTCATATAGTATCTAGTTATTATTCAATTTGTTTGACTACATTGTTCGTTTAAATTGGTTGAAAAATTAAGATGTAAAATCATAGTAGGTAAAAACCTTTGTCTTTGAAATTGAGACTGAAAAATAATTTTTCTCGAAATTCTAAATTTTTCAGGTTTTCAATGGCATAAAATGGCATAAAATGGCATAAAATGGCATAAAATGGTATAAAATGGAGACTATTTCTATGGAGAAAATGGAAAAACCTATGAGTAATTCTCCATGTTCTCCATTTATGCCATTGCAATATTAAATGTATTACAGTACAACTCGTTGAAGCATCCAGTTAATTTATTGCGAACAATAAAACTACATTTATTTAATTAGAAAATCTCTGATACAACGAATATAAAAACCCCAAATATAAATCAGTTATTATGATTAATGCATTTTATCGTTTATAAAAAGATTAATAATAATAAGTCCAACATGGACAATTAGGTATTAATTGTAACCCATTAACAATAATGAGGCACTAGACAGAAACTAATAATTTAAGTTTAAATTTACTACCAGTAAATCTAAAAACATTATGGTTTATTCAAAGCTAACACTTACAAACTTGCCCTCAACAATAAAATTGCGTTTTCCCAAAAATAGTACGATTGACGTAGTCTTGATTCTTGAATCATAAATTTCTTCCAATTACTTTATACATTATACAAGAATACCATGGAACAAGCTAGATTTTGCTAGGACACTTTTGGAGAAGACAGCCACAATTCTCAGTCCAAAAAATTTGCCTTTTGTTATGTTATCTATGATTTCGGGTACCTTTAACTGTAGAATAGAGACATAGGATATCGGTGTTTTGTCAGCACACAGTCCAACTATATAACAGTGAATCAGGTGGTCTTTGTGGAATTCTTCATCTCCAATAAAATCAACTTTGTACTCAGAAGAGAGATCGATCTCTATATTTTTAAGAATATGAGATTTTACTTTTTTGGCCGATTTCTTGCTTTTGGAACTGCTAATAGTTGTTGACCGATTATGGCAAATTGGACATAATCTACCATAATCCAGATTAAGACTAATCCTTCTTTCTGTTGCCAGTTTAACCAGAAATTCTGACGAATCGTCATAGTATTTACCGATTGAGAAAGTGTCCACTCTACCATCCATATTGATATCAAATAATTTCCTCAGTTTGTCTTGGACAGAATCTTTCTGAGAACTACATTTTTTCAAAGCAATACATCTGACATCCTCTAAGATACTTACTGATACAGTAAGGTCTTTGAAATAGGGTAGAAGTAAACGCAATAGGTTCTTATACGACAGATTCCTTTTAGATACAAGATGAGCGATGGCCTCGAGCCCAGAATATAGAGGAAGGCCGAGTTCTTTAATTTTCATTGGGTAATCTTTGGCAAGAAACGCACAGAAAACATGTAATCTATATCTGTCAGTTTGTTCTACAGTTATCGTTGGTTCCTCCACACCATTTGTTCTTCTGGATTTTATTTCGTGGGTTTGAGAACTAAT